ATCCTACCCTAGAGCTCACCACCACCTCCTGGTCTCATGCTACCTCCCTCCATTCAATTAACACACACTTATTACTGACCCGTTATATGCCAGGTACTGGGCTGCAAGCATGCCAGACAAGATCCCCGCTCTTATGTTCCAGAATATTCTGGAATGTGTATTCTAATGGGAAAGACAAATCTGAGATACACAAACCAATTAATGATGAAGGCCTTTCCTGATGGCGATAATTGCTATGAAAGCAGTAGGCTGAGAGTAACCAAGTGGGGAGGAACTGCTTTGGCCAGGAGATTAGGGACAGGCTCTTTGGAGAAGTGATGTCCTAGCTTTAATAAAAGCAGCACACAGAATGTTCTAGAATGTTCCAGGACATTTTAGAACATTGTGGAAGGGCCCAGAATGTTCCAGAACATCTCAGGTGGAAATAATGGGTAGGCCCCAAGCCCCATGCCAGAAAGCCTGAGGAACAGAGATGAAAGACCACAGTGGCTGGGGTGACATGGGCAAGGCTTAGAGCAAAGAGGGAGAGTGTTGACAAAGATGTATTGAGAACAGCCTCCTGGAGCGTGGGACACAGCTGTGACTGAGAGTGCTCGTGTGTTGCATCTGGCAGAGGGAACATTTATTAAACCAATCATCATACAAGCAAAGAAGCAATAACTTAATTGTCAACATGATAAAGGCCTGAGTTGGAAGTAGTGACTTACAGGGGCCAGGCTGAGCTAGGAGGGCAAAGAGGGACATTTAGGCTGAAGAATTGGCCAGTAAAAAAGCAGAGCCTTCCAGACAGAGGAAACAACCTATGTGTGGACTCTGAGGATGGAAAAGTGCCAGGAGCCTCTTAGAGCCTGGCAGGACTGGGAACGAAGTAGGCAGTAGGCAGGCTCACATGACACAGGATCCCTGAAGGCCTCAGCTTCCCTGTTGGGCTCATACCTGGCCCTAAATAGGGACCTCGGCAACCCCCAGCTCGGACCTGTCTTCCACCTTCCGCCACACACAGAAAAGAAAGACATGAGTCTCTATACTTTGTTTCAAGCATTGATGGAGTGTGGCAGGGATATCTTGCTGCCTCCCTCCCTTTCTCAGCAAATTTCCACCCTGGGCCCAGAATTAGGCCTATCACCAAGAAACCAGGAATGCTGGTTGCTGTGGCAACCCTGTGCTACTAGGACATATGGGCACTCCTGCTTGTTACTATGACGCCAGCCACCCACCTACCCTCCACCAGGTCTGCATCGGGTGTGGGAGGAAGGCCAAGAGATGGCCAGTGGAGACAGCTTACCAGATGTTGCACAGAGCTGGGAGGGAAGACAAGAAAACTGAGGCTCAGAGAGCTGTGTCGAGTCAGATCTCCTCCACAAGGTCACCTTTGTTGGCCCCCAACCCTGGAACGAGCCCCAGATGGAAGCAAAGGGCCCTTTCTCTCCTGAGACTCCAGAAGAGGCCAGAAGGCCTTTGCTTGGCTCTCGGGCCCCTTCCCCAGTGAAGCCTTCAGAAGGGCAGGTGATGTGAGCAGGGATTACTTTTCTCTGAACACATATACACACCCATGCACCTAGGACACCCTTCCTTTTCCCCATATTCTATCCATCCCTCAAAGTCCAAGTCAGCTGCCACCTCTTTCAGGCAGCCATCATTCATCACATGCTTGAAAGGGACTTCTCTGCCTTTTCCTCACACCCACAGTGCTCACAGTGCCCACGGTCCTCACCACTTAGTGTTATACATTCCACTTCTGTAAGTCATCTACTCTGGGCCAGCCTGGGTTGGTCACTGGGGCTTTAAAACTTAAAGCACTAGACACACAGCAGCAAACAAACGAAACACTCTACCTTTGGGGTTCATTCTTGAGAGAGGGGAGAGAGACCAAAGAGATAGTGCTCAGTCACAACTTTTCAGTTCCAAGAAGTCCAAAGCAAACTGATATAAGCCAAAAATCAAGAGGCAGTGTGGGCTTCAGACATAGTTTGATCCAGGCCTTCCAGTAATATCATGAACACACAGTCTCTCTCCATCTGTCTGAAAGGCTCTGTGGTGACATAGGGCCCCTGACAGCTCCAAACTCACATTCTCCCAGCTCAGCAACCCCCGTTAAGAGGGCATGTCTCCCTCCCAAGAAATCCCACTGATACCAGAGGAGGCTTGGGTCATGCTGCTCAACTTCCCCTGAGCCACATAAGTTTGGTCAAAGCAAATAAGAGTTATGTTATGAAGGAAGAAGAGAGTGATAAGTGCCAGGTAGATTCCTACCAAGTCCATAATGGCATTCCCAGCAGAAGGAGCGGCTGCCCTAGCAAAGGCCCAGAGGCTGGACCATTGATGTTACTGCAAAAAGCAGTGAGGACAGAGCCCATTTTGTTGTCAGACCAAAAGGTGAGAGGAACATAACAAGAGAGGTGGCTGCCAAGTTGGCTAGTACTAAAAGCCCTTAAAAGGTAAGCAGAGGGAATGAGATGGTTTCGGGGGGTAACAAGAAGTCACGGGGTCATCAGGGGAGGGACATGGTCTGACCCCATGTGGGGAAGAGACTTGACAAGGTAAAGCTGCTTCTGGGGTTTGAGAAGGAAACAGGGAAACATCCAAGCCAAAATAATTACCAATCCCCTGCCCCATTCCCTGTTGCCTGTGAGACCCATGGGAGCTGCCTTCATGGAGCTTATGAAATTATACCAATGTTGAAATAAGTAATTACTAATTATTTATTTAATAATTATCAATTACTTAATAATTACTATGGTAAGCACAAGGAGATTGATAGGGAGCTAAGGGAGCTAGCTAAACATGGATATAACAGGGGATGCTAGTCCAGTCTGGGATGTCTTCTGCTGAGGAGGAACACTTTTACTTGAGAACTTGGACAGAGCAGGGCTGCAAGGGTATTCTTGGCAGAGGGAAATGCAAGTGCAAAGGGCCCAGGGTTGGAAGGAACAAAGTAGGCTCAAGGAATCCAGAGAGAGCTTGTGGGGCTGGAGTATACTGAGTGAGAGGCAGAGCCTCTGCAGAAGTGGTCTATGTTAGTAGAGCCAGATTGTGGGAGGGCGTGTTAGTACATGTGGGTGTTTGGGCTCCTCATGGCAGCAGTATACCCAGGCGGGAGGTGACGTTTGGGATTGGATTTGCATGATATTGGCAGCTCCCCAGCTGCTGTATGGAGCTAACGGGTGGCTAGAGAAGTAGGAAGCCCTAAGAGAAGCCAGGAGGTGGGAGTAGTTGCTGAGTGAGAGGAGATGGTAGCTTGGACCTCGGTAGTTACCATGGAGATAAAGAGAAGCATGTGGGCTGGAGGCCAAGGAGACTGGGCCCTACTGATGGGATAAAGTAGAGTGAGGATGGGGAAAAATCAAGAGGCCGTCTAGGTGTCTGGATCCATTGAGATGGGGTGGTAGGGGGCAGGGCAGGGATGCAGAAGAAGGGACCACCAGTGGCCCCTCCCAGCTGGGCTGAGCAGTTCTGGTAGCCATTTCAAATGACAATAGGGATGTTGGCGTAACATTGCTGATGAGCCTAAAACCACTGATTTGTACACTTAAAAACTGGTTAAAATGGCAAATATTTTATGAGATATATGTTTTACCATCACACAAAAAAAAGAGAAAAACTTTAAATGTACATCAACTCAAACTAAAGAAAATGAAAAATACAGTTTTTCAGTCACCTAGACATACTGCAAGGGCTCTATAATACCATGTGGCTGGGCGTGGTACAGACAGAATGTTTCTGTCATCGCAGAAAGTTCTACTGGGCAAGGCTGGCCTGCCTCCATTTCTCATCTCTGTCCAGGTCTCATTTCCTGGCAACATTCCCAGGGGCAGACCTGAAACCCCAAGCTCAGCCCAGAATGACAACTGGAGGCCTAAGTTGCTTTTATGTTAAATCCTGATGCTCGTGGTATCAAGCAGGATCCTGGCAGCAGCAAGAGCCACTGAGAATGGATGATTCAGGAGCGTTGTATTGAAGGGGCCCTTTGCAAAAGTGTGTGCAGGGTTGGGTAACTGACATGGGTGGTGCGGTATGGAAAACGAGCAACAGTGGGGAGCTGTTACTATGCTCAGGCTGAAGGCTCACTTAGTGGAGCTGTGGCCCTGGTTTGGGGGATGCAGGGCGGGACAGCAGGAGAGAAACACCTGACTTCTCACTCCTCCTTCTTTTCACCTGGTCCTGTCTCCCCGCTTCCCCACCACCCTGGCTGACTCTAGAAGAAGGTAAAGGGCCCAAGTGGCTCAACCTCCAGGGATACAGGGCAAGGTGAATGGTGGAGGGTCCAATAACAGCCCCATTCAGCTACAACTCACCTTCCCCTACCCACTCACCTATTATCACCCACAGGCCTCCATCAGGCCCTAGAAAACCTCTACCCAATTGACCACCACACCCCTCATCCCAAACTCTCCCTAGGAGAAAAGACACCCCCCTCAACCAGGAATCTCTGGTTGCCAGCAACAAAAGCAACTCCAGTCAACTGAACTAACTGGCTGGAACTCGGGGTGTCTGCAGAATGAACAGGAAAGATGAAGAGCCATGCTTATGGCCTCCTCAGGGAGGCCTGCTCCTGTCTTGCAGGACTCCTCTCCAATGCAACATACAGGAAAAGAATGCCAAGGCTGGACTCCTTGGACAGGGAAGGGGAGGGGACCCATGGACAGTGTCCTGAGACTGACTCCAAAGGGGCAAAGCTCCATCCCCAAAAGCAAGGAAGATGGAAGCCACGTAGCCAAAAAATTAACAAATGTCCTCTTTAAGATATGACCTGCCCACTTCACAGGAGAGACACAGGGGCCCAGGAAGGGGCACTGACCCGTAGGGACACCCTAGTAATGAGTGCGACATGAGCTGGGCAACAGAGGTGCTGTCCTTCCAGGTGGCAGCCAGTTCACACCTCTTAAGCCACAAGGAGTTCCCAGGGTTTCCCCCAACTCACCAAGGGCCCGATTGGCAGAGGTCATGGCCATGCTCAGGCCACGCTACTAAGGGTCAATGGAAAGACAAACAGAAGCAGATTTGGTCCAAGACGTCTTTTATATACATGGTTTATTCCTCCCAACCTTCATGCTGCAATTCCAGCCTCAGCTGCCAACCCTCCAAGCATGGAGCTGCCCACTGCCTCTTTCTGCGGGAGGCCTCCTCTTATGGGGTTAGATCTCTGAAGGTGGGGTGGGGAAAAGAGGGGAGCCCTAGCACAAGGCAGCTCCCTTGAAGCCTCAGTCCTCCCAGAGGGAAGGAAGGAGGAAGGCGGCACAGAACTGGGGTTCAAATACTCAAGAAGTTACACAATAGAAGACAAAAAGTAGCACACTCCAAGGAAAGGCGGGGCAGGGAGGAACCAAGGCCAGATCCTGTCCCCCAGATAGGGGCATGGTGATCTCAGGACCCAGAGGGGTAAAAAATGGGACCAGGGAAA